GGGTGTCGCGCCGGATCCCGGAACGCACACCTGTTGCTGCCCTCCCCGGAGATGATGATCTGACCTCGGGCCAGTCCAATCTCGGACTTGCCGCAAGCCGTCTCATCGAGAGCTCCGGGGCTTGATGTCTGCTCGCATGGCATCGATGCGCCCGTTGACACTTGTGCCTTGCGTCAACAGAAGTCCAGCTACGCCGAGGATCGTTCCGATGATCCACTTGGTGTCGCTGCTCATCCCGGATGACCCGGTCCGCGCCGGTGACGCCATGCCTCCAGGATGGTCTCACCGTCGTGCAGCATCAGATGTAGATCCACCTGGTACAGCTGGAACCGAGAGACTGACGGGGCATCCGACGCGGAGAGACCGGGCGTATAATCTGCATCAGACGCCTCGTGCGCGTCCGCAGGCTGCGGCGCGTCCAAGGGGAAGTAGCGCGTGGAACGTAACAGCGCTCCAACGGGGGACGCGGTCCGCCCCGGGGGTGCGATCAGGAACCAGACGGGAGGTACCAGATGACTCGAACGCGATTCGGCGTGGCGGCCCTGGCCGCGCTTCTGCTCGTGCCGGCGCGGTGGCCGGCCAGGATACGCCGCGGACGCCGTGGGGCGACCCGGACCTGCAGGGAACCTATACGAACAAGACGACGACGCCGCTCGAGCGTCCGGAGCGCTGGGCGACAAGGAGTTCCTCTCCGCCGAAGAAGTGGCGTCCCAGGAACAGGCCCGGGTCGAGCGCAACCGGGAGCTGCTGCTGGCCGCGCCCCGCCGGACCGTGGCCGGGGCCGACGTCGGCGGCTACAACAACTTCTGGCTCGATGGGGGCACGCGCCCGACCGGCCGCACGTCCCTGATCGTCGATCCGCCGACGGGCCGGCTGCCGGTGCGGACCTCGGCCCGCCGCGGACCGCAAGATGGCGCACGACGCCGCGTTCCCCGTCGCCGGGCCGTTCGACTCCTGGGAGGACCTGGAGCTGAACGACCGCTGCCTGGTCTGGTCGGCGGGTCCGCCGATGCTGCCCAGCGCCTACAACAACAACTTCATGATCATGCAGACCCCGGGCTACGTCGCGATCTACGTCGAGATGATCCACGACTTCCGGATCATTCCTATCGACGGTCGCGGGCATCTCCCGACGGGCATCCGCCAGTGGCACGGGGACGCGCGGGGGCGCTGGGAGGGCGACACCCTCGTCGTCGAGACCACCAACCTGCGGCGCACCGAGGCGAACGCGGGGGCGGTGGGCGGCGACCCCGTCCTGCTGCGCATGGCGAACGGCCGGGACGACGACACCATCACCGTCACCGAGCGGTTCACGCGGGTCGACAGCGGCACCGTGCACTACGAGTTCACCGTCGACGACCCCACGCACTTCACTCAGAGCTTCTCGGGCGAGTTCCCGTTCACGGCGTTTCCGCCGGATGAGCTGCCTTTCCTGTCGAGTACGCCTGTCACGAGGGCAACTACAGCATGACCAACATCCTCGGCGGCGAGCGCGCGCGGGAGCTGACCAACGACGACGGGCAGTAGACCGCCCGCACGTCAGGCGCCTGATGGCGTCACGGGCATTCACTTGGGGCCGGGCACGGTTGCCCGGCCCTTCGTCTTTGGGCAGGTTGTCCGTTGTCGGGCCGCGTGCGCGGAGCGGCGCCGGGCCGCGTCTTTCCAGCACGCCCCGTTCCCCGGGCCGCGGGATCACGCACCCTTGAGTGCCCGGGCCGGAACGCGGCGGTTCCGGACGTACTCCGACACCCGGAAGCGGCTGTGAGACTGCGCGAGATTCGGGAACGGCTCGGTGACACCGTGGAGGTGCGGGTGACGCCGCGGGCGGCGTCCAGCCGCGTCGACGTGGAACCGGGGCCGGACGGCGCGATCGAGGTCCGGGTTCGGGTCACGGCGCCGCCCGAGCGCGGCAAGGCGAACCGAGAGGTCGTCAAGCTGCTCGCCCGAGAGTTGGGGGTTGCGCCGACCGGGCTCGAGATCGTCCGCGGCGCCACGTCCCGGCGCAAGACCGTTCGGATCAAGCGGCCGTGAGCGCTCGGTGTCCGGCCGCGTCCGCTGCAACGCCCGGCAGTCGGATGTGGGCCAGGAGTTCGCCGACAAGCGTGATCTGCGGTGTCCGGCCGCGTCCGCTGCAACCCCAACAGCCGGCGCAAGACCGTCCGCATCGAGGAGCGGTGAGCGCTGCCGTCAGTGTTGCGCGGTCGGCACCCATGCGGTCGTGCGTCCACCGATGGTCAGGTGCTCGATGCGGTCGCCGCGCGTCGTCGTCGCGTTCGCGCGCTTGCCCCAGCGGCGGTGGAACAGCCACGTGCGCGGGTAGCGCGCATCGTCGGCGTTCGCGTCGACCGCGCGCTTGACGATCGGCCGCGAGCCGCGCGCGCAGGCGACAGGCTTCCGCGTCGGTCAGCGAGGCCGCGTGGCGCCGCGGATCGATGCCGGCCTGATACAGCACCTCGTCCGCGATCCAGTTGCCGACCCCGGCCGCGAACGACTGGTCGAGCAGGAGCGACTTCACGTTGGCGCCGCGCGCGCGGATCAGCTCGGAGAACCGCTTCGGCGGGGGCATCGCGAGCAGCGGGTCGAAGCCGAGCTTCGCGACCGGCGGCTCGCGCTCGGGGTCGTCGCGCAGCAGGATGCGGCCGAGGCGGCGCCCGTCGGTCATCGCGAGCTCGCCGCCGTCGTCGAAGCGCATCCGGATCTTCACGAACCGCGGCGGCCAGACCGCCGGGTCCTCCTTCGGCCCGGACTTGAGCTGCAGCGGCGTCGATGCGGGGTCTTGAATCCGCCGGCCATCCCGAAGTGGAACAGCGGATGCGGCGGCGCGTCGAGCACGAACCAGAGCTGCTTGCCCCAGCGCCGCGCCGCCTCGACCCGCCGTCCTTCGAGCGCCTCCCGCCAGTGATCCGGCGCGACCGCGTCGAACACCAGCGGATCGTCCTCGCACCACACGCGCGCGATGCGCCGCCCCGCCGCGACCGACTCGGCGAGCCTGCGGCCCCTCTCGACCTCCGGCAGCTCCGGCACCGCTACTCGGGGCAGCCGAAGGTGAACACGACGTTGCCGGCCGCGATGGTCACGTACTGCCGGCCGTCGACGGCGAAGGACATCGGCGCCGAGTGCACCATGGCCCCGACGGCGACGGTGCCACAGCTCTGCGCCGGTGCGCGCGTCGAGCGCGTAGAAGTAGCCGTCGACGCTGCCGCTGAACACGAGATCGCCGGCCGTGCCATGATGCCCGCGGTCGACCGCGGCTGGATCGCGTACTCCCACCGGATGTCGCCGGTTCTCGGGTCGATCGCGCGGATGGCGCTGTGGTAGTGGTCTCGCCGGCAACGGCTGCTGTCCGCCGCCGCCCGGTGAACCGATCGCCCTCGACGTACTCCTCGTCGCGCTTGTAGAAGATGTCCTCGCCGTCATAGCCTGCACGTAGAACAGCTCGGGTGCGCGGGCTGTAGGCGGGGAGAACCAGTTGGTGCCGCCGCCGACCGGCGGCGAGACGAGCGTGCCCTCGGGCGTGGGGGAGGTGTCGGGCACCCGGATCGGGCGGCCGTTCGAGTCCGAGCCCGACCGGCCCAGGTCTGCTGGCGTACGGGGCTTCCCGATGAGGAACTCGCCGGTCACGCGATCGATGGGTGTAGTAGAAGGCGTTGCGGTTGCGCCCACATCATCACCTTGCGCTCCTCGCCGTCCATCGTCAGGTCGGCGAGAATCGGCACCTGGATGGCGTCCCAGTCGTGCACGTCGTGCGGCGTGAACTGGAAGTACCACTCGAGCCCGCCGGTGCTCGTGGTCGATGGCCAGCACCGAGTCGGAGTAGAGGTTGTCGCCCGAGCCGCACGTCGCCGTTCCAGTCCGGCCCCGGGTTGCCGGTGCCCCAGTAGACGAGGTCGAGGTCGGGGTCGTAGGCGCCGGTGATCCAGCTCGGCGAGCCGCCGGTGCGCCACGAGTCGCCGGCCCACGTCTGGTTGTCCGGATGGTCGGGGCCGGGAATCGTCCACGCGCGCCACCTGCGTCACCCCGCTCGCGGCGTCGTAGCGATCGACGAATCCGCGGATGCCGTACTCGCCGCCCGCGACGCCCGTCACGACCTCGCCTTCACGATCAGCGGGGCGCGCCGTCTTGCTGTACCCCGCCCGGTGGTCTGCGATCTCCGGTCCCACACGACGTTTCCGAGCGGGCGTCGATGGCGACCAGGTGTGCGTCGAGGGTGCTCATGTAGAGCGTCTCGCCCAGAATGGCGACGCCGCGGTTGTTGCGGCCGCAGCAGATGCGCAGGTCGTCCGGCAGCGGGTGGTCGTAGCGCCAGTACTGGCGCCCGGTGGCGGCGTCCACGGCGACCACGTTGCTCGGCGCCTCGGTGATGAACATCACCCCGTCCACCACGAGGGGGACGCTCTCCGACCGATCGAGCTGCGGGATCTGATAGGCCCACTTCAGCTCCAGCTCGCCCACGTTGCGGTTGTGGACCTGATCGAGCCGGCTGAACCGTGGGCTGTCGAGGGTGCCCGAGTACATCAGCCAGTTCTCGGCTCGTCGGCTGCGTTCAGCAGGCGCTCCCAGGTGACGGGCGAGAAGGACGGCGCGGCGCCGGACCCGGTGTCGGCCGGCTGAGCCGACGCCGCGGCGGCGCAGGCAAGAAGGGCGATGGCGGTGGCGAGCCGTTGCATGGCGTTCTCCCGTGGTCAATAGTCGGTCGAGCGGGTGCAGCTCACGCTCTGCGAGGCCGCCCCCAAACGGTGAAGATACCATGCGTCTCGAGAGACCGGAAGCCGGATTGCCCATGCCGCGCGGGTGGAGCGCGGAACCGGCCGGGTTCTCGACAGGGGGGACGGCGGCCCCGGCAGAGATCCGGTGTCGAACGGTCGCTAAAGTACCCCTGGGTCATAAGTTCGCTAACGTATTTCACGCGGTATCGACGAGGCGGCGCGTCACCGTATCCACTCGCCCGCGCCTGCCTGCCGTTCTCGTACTTATGGTCGTGAGTACTAAGGACACTGACGGAAATTACCTTGCCCTGTGCCAAGCGCGCGAAACCGTAGAAACCGGGCTGCGCCTGGATGCAGTTGCCAACTTCATATCGATCGCTGTCGCTAACCGGCAGGGTCCCGACGACCGGTCCGCGTAGCCCGCCAGACTATGATCGTCCTGCATGCCAGCGCGATTCGGGTCCCGCCAGTTCTTCCGGTTTCTCCACAAGGGGCTCGGCCTGAAGAACCTCGTCGACTACATCGAGCAGCGCCAGAAGCTGCTGGGCTTGACCAACCTCGACATCCGCACCGTGATCGACGTCGGCGCCAACAAGGGCCGGGCCGCGCGCCGCTTCCGGCGGCTCTTTCCCGCGGCCCGCGTCTACTGCGTCGAGCCCATCCCCCGACTGTGCCGGCGGCTCGAGCAGTGGGCCGAGACCCAGGGCGGCGCCGTCCAGGTGCTCGAGCTGGCGCTGTCCCGCGTCCCGTCGGAGCAGCCGCTGTATGTCCATCGGCAGAGCGATATCCTGTCGACGCTCGCGGCGCCTCCGCCGGGAGAGGCGGTGCAGTTCGAACCCATCACGGTTACGGTCGACACCCTTGATCGTCTGGCCGCAGAGATGCGACTCGAGGCCGACGTGCTCGTCAAGATCGACACCGAGGGGCTCGACCTCGAGGTCATCCGCGGCGGCGAAGAGACGCTGCGCCGCGCCGCCGCGGTCATCGTCGAGGCGGCCTTCTACCCGAACCCGGCCGGCGACGCCGCTCCCACCTTCGAGGACATCGCCGCCGCCCTGCGCGACCTCGGCTACGTCTACCGCGGCAACGTGCGCCTCGGATGCCAACACGGCACGCCGATGCTGGCCGACGTGCTGTTCGCCCGAAGCGAGGCAGCGGAACGGCTGGCGGGCCGGGCCTGACTCCCCGGTGGCTGCCCGTCGCACTCGTTCAGCCAGGTGCTGGCGGCGACCGCGGCCTGCTGGCGGCGACCGCGGCCGCTCGTAGCGCCGCCGGGCGCCCAGTCTCGCAGCGGGCCGGAACTGGCGGAGAGCGGGCGCGGACGCCTGCACGCCGAAGCACGGGGGAGCGCGAGTGCCGGCGCCGACGTTCGGTCGAGCTGCCGCACCGACAAGCTCCCTCCGTTCATTCAGTCGTGTTCGACTCCCGCGTACCGAGACGCGTCAGTCGCGGAGCGTGATCTTCTGGACGCGCCAGGTCAACAGCTCGGCGACGTAGACCTCGTTGGCCGACGGGCACGCCAGGCCGTGGATCCAGCCGAACTCGCCGACGGCCTGACCGTCCCGGCCGAAGTACCCGAGCACGGTGCCGTCGAGCGACATCTTGTAGATGCGGCCGGGGAACATGTCCTGGGTGAACATGACCGGATCGGGGCCCGGCGTGATGCAGATCGAGTTCGGCCACAACGAGTTGTAGCTGCCGTCGGGCAGCCGGCCGAAGCTCGCTACCTGGGGCGCGTAGTCGGGTGGAACCGGCGCCTGCCTCCGCAGGTCGGCCAGCGTGATCTGACGCACGAAGGTGCCGTCCGACTCGAACACCTGGACGCGGTTGTTGGACCGGTCCGCCACGTAGATCCGGCCCTGGTCATCGGCGGCGATTCCGTGCGGGACGCGAAACTGTCCCGGGTCGCTGCCTCGCTCGCCCCAGGAGCCGACCCAGTTGCCGTCGGCGTCGTACTTGGCGACCCGGGCGTTGTTGTAGCCGTCACTGAAATAGACGTTGCCCTCGGGATCGAACGCCACGTCGGTGACCTCGTCGAAGAGGCCGTCCCGCGCCGGCGGCGGCAGGGCGTCGGGCGTCTCGTAGTACGGCGGGCGCAGCGAGTGCGGCGGACAGTTCGGTCCCGTGCAGCGGGGGTATCGGGAATGGGTCGATTCCGGACGGCGCCCGAAGACCTGGAGCACGCGGCCGGCCGGACTGAGCTTGACGGCCATGCTCGAGCCGTTGTCCATCAGCCAGATGTTGTCGTCGGCGTCCACCCGGACCGCGTGCGCCCACGCCTTCGAGTAGAGGTTGCCGCCGATCTCCCGGACGAAGGTGCCGTCGGGCGCGAACTCGTAGAGCGAGGCCGCCCGGGGACCGATGATGGTGGCTTCGGACCCCGTCCGGGTGTAGACGAAGATGTGACCCCGCGAGTCCACCGCGACGCCGGCGGCCTCGCCGAGGTAGAGGTCGGGTGGGAGCCGTAGCGGCGCCACCGCGTCGTATTCGAGATCCGCCGCCGGTTGGCCGTAGGCGGAGCCGATGGGGAGCACCAGACAGAGCGTGGCAATGAGAGCGGAACGGCGCATGTGAAGACCTCTTTTCGCTTGTGAAGGCGGGCAACGGCGAGCGTGCCGAGCCTGTCCAGCGGCAAGCCTAGCACGCCTGGCGCGGCGATTCTCCGCCTCCACCGCGTTGCCGAGGGTCAGCCCGGCGACGAACGCGGCGTCCGTCGCATCGCTCCTTTCCGCTGCCACAGGGCCGAGCCGCCGACTCCCCGATTCTCGGCCGCCGCCAGGCCGGGATTCGGCCAGGAGTGGCGGTCGAGGAACCCCCTGCGGACCGACGCGCGTCGCGGTGCGGGGCGAGAACGGGTAGAATCGCGGCGATCCCGGTACGGCAACCCTTCGGAGGTGCACCGATGACCCTCTCACGACGCAAGGCGATCTCCCTGTCCGGCTCCACGCTCGCGGGGCTCTCCCTCGGGGTCCTGCGGCCCCCGCATTCCGGGGTCCTGCAGGCGCAGGGCCAGGACGACTGGCCGGATACCCTCGTCGAACGCCCGCTGCGCGAGGGGTTCCCCGCGCCGCTCCCGCTCAACCGGACGGGTCGGCGCCCGAGCATCCGGAGAGCGCGGCCGGTCCCATCACCGATCCGCTGATGTGGCGCAGCCAGGGCCGGCAGACCCCGGAGATCGAGTTCGACTACCGGAGCATGGCGATCCGGGTCGACACCCGGGGGATGTCGAGGCTCTCGGGCACGTTGCGGTTCTCGGACCTCGAGCAGCTGCCGGTCGTCTCCGGCACGTACCTCCTGCAGTGCGGGGCGCCGAACCCGCGCGGCATCGTCAAGTGGACGGGCGTCCGGTTCAGCGACTTCGCCGACATGCTCGGGCTGATCCCCGGGGTGCACTACTGCCGGTTCGTGGGGTCGGACCGCTTCTACGCGGACGAGCCGATGACGACGCTGCGGCGGCCGCAGGTGATGCTGGCGTGGATGATGAACGACGAGCCGATCCCGCCGCGGCACGGTGCGCCGCTGCGGCTGGTCGTGCCGTTCCGCTACGGGAACCGGAGCGTCAAGGCGATCACCGAGATGACGTTCAGCACGCCGGGGCCGCGGATGCCGCCCCTGCCGGCCTGAGTCGCGCCGGAATCGGAGGCGGCTCACGCAGGAGTCCGCCCGCAGCTCGGTGCGGACTCCTGCGCGCTAGCCTAGTGCTGCGCCATGACTAAACGTTCGGGTGTGCGGTGCTGTGATTCGTCAACGATTGCGCGCTGTTAATCCCATGCCCGTGTCCGAAGATTGAGACGTGACACACCACTAGTGGTGTGTCACAGGAATAACCTTACGGTTCAGCTTCCGTGGGTCCGACACGGCGGCGTTCAATCGGCGCCCGAAAAACGCCGGTTTCGCGGTCTTGTCGGTTACGTGCGGCGATGTAAAGCCATTTCGCAGACATACCACTAGCTGCGCGCCAGCGCGGCCTTGAGCGCGCGCTGCGCGAAGACCCCGACCATGGCGCGGCGGTAGTCGGCGCTGGCGTGGATGTCGGCGTTGAGGTCCGTCAGGCCGTCGCCCGCGGGGGCCGCGGCCGCGGCGACGCTGTCGGTGGTGGCCGGCCGTCCCGCGAGGGCGTCCTCGACCGCGGTCAGCCGCACCGCGTGCGAGAGGGCGCCGGTCAGCCCGAGGCGGGCGCCGCGGATGGCGCCGCCGGCGACGTCGAGGGCGGCCGCCACCCCCACGATGGCGAACCGCGACGCGCGCTGGTAGAGCTTGGCGTAGGCGGCGGCGCGCACGGGGGTGAACCGCACCGCGGTGATCAGCTCGTCGCCGGCCAGATCCACCGTGAAAAGATCCTGAAAGAAATCGCGCGCGGCGACCGTGCGCGTCCCGCCGGGGCCCTGGATGCGGATCTCGGCGTCGAGGGCGAGCAGCGTCGCGGGGTAGTCGGCGGCGGGGTCGGCGTGGGCGATGCTGCCGCCGAGAGTGCCGCGGTTGCGCACCTGCGGATCGCCGATGGTCGCCGCGGTCTCCGCGACGACGGGACAGCGCGCGCGCAGCAGGTCCGACGTGGCCACCGCGTGGTGCACGGTGGCCGCGCCGATCTCGATTGCGCCGTCCCGCTCCCGGATGCCGGACAGCTCGGGGATGCGCGCGATGTCGATGAGGGTGCCGGCTCGTTCAGCCGCAGCTTCATGAGCGGGACGAGGCTGTGCCCGCCCGCGATGAGCTTGCCGGCGCCGCCGGTGGCCGCGAGCCGGGCCAGCGCGTCGTCGACCGACGTTGCGCGTTCGTAGTCGAATGCGGACGGAATCACGCCTGGCC